TCCGCCGGGACCGGGAACATACTTTGGGTACCCCAAACTTCCTGGTTGTGGGTACTGAGGACAGGGGAGCCAAAGGCTTCTTCTGAGTGTGGGGGGTGGCTGGCTGCATGCTGCGTGTGTCTATGAACGCACACAGCTCGGTGCAGGCACGGCCGTGACTGTGCATGCACAGGTGCCTCTACAGCAGCCAGCTAGATCATGGAGGCACTGGTGCTTTGGATACCACTAGAGAACACGGAAATAAAAACATTTAAAGACTAAAAACATTTTTTAAAGTAAGTCTGACCCCAATGAGCAAGAAAAGTAAAAAAAGAAAACCCCAAAAATTAAAGGTTTAATGTTGCTTTAACTATTAACAAAAATGTATCTTATTTGTGCATCATTCGGCTGTAGATCCTCAATCATCTCCGAATCGGTGCTGACACTGTCCTTCCTTCTGGAGGGTGGCTTTTGTTCCAAGCTTGCTCAAAGCTCGCTTGTGTGATGGTCTACAATCTCATGTTTAGTTTACTAATTTGTATTGGAGTTATAGTCTATCATGAGAGTGATCTTGGAGTGGCGACTACTTTACAACACACACAGGGACCATGGGGAACAAAAGTAGCCACCCTCTAGAAGGAAGGACAGGGTCAGCATGAATTCAGAGATGATTTGGGAATCTACAGCCGAGTGATACACAAATAAAATACATGTTTGTTAATAGTATAGGTACTTGAATGCATTTGTAATGTTTAATTCCTGAGTTCAGTGTCACTTTAATATTTGCTTACATTGTTGTTTTAGGGAGACATAAGGACAAATGATTATATGGATTATGTATTTTATATCCACGATTATCATGCTTATCATATATGATATTTTTTATGTCTGTGTTTATCTTCATAATTGTTCAGGGAACCAGATAGTAAAGTTGTCTGTGCCTGGATCCTACGAGAAGCAGATATGTGCTCTATTAAAGCAGGCACAAACAAATGAAGCAGGAATTCCTTTTGTATTCCACGCGGACCGTGATTTCAACCCCTCTCTAAATGTTTGTCTAGAACAGACACTACAAGTAGGACAGGTCAGTGACTAGAAATTATCTACCTCTATTTTACGTTTTTCTTGGTTATCTTTACCTCTTATTGTCTTCCTCCAGAAATGTGGGGCATCCATCATGACATTTTTAGGGTACATCCAACAGAAACTGGAAATTGTATTCTCACATGTAAATCAGTCTGTGAAACCCACCTCCACTTTGCTGACAAATTGGAAGCATCCAATGTACCCGATGAAATGTTAAAATTGCCCAAACCATTACTGTAGTCACGGCTGTGCCTGTAGAATGTAATTGCCATTTACAAAATTCTATCTGGTGTTTTCTTAGACTAACATGTTTCTTGGACATTCTATGACAGCCAGCAAAATGTGGACATTTTTTTCTGGGTACTGTAATTAAAAAGAACAAAGACAAATCATACATACTATTTACATAGATGATCTTCACCACTGCACTACCACTGTATAGGCTGAACTCAATGGACTTGTGTCTTTTTTTCAACCTAACTATGTAACTATTAGGGATGCACCGATACCGAGTATTTGGGTGAGTACTCGTACTCGCCCAAATGCTCTGATACTTGCCTCCGATACTGGAACTTCCGGTCAGATGGCGATCTCCCTCTGTCCAGCAGTGCTAAGGGAGCATGGAGCCCGCTTCCTTTCCAATCACGAAGCTCGGAGGTGGGTTATGACTAACAGGCTAGGAAGCCGGTTTCACTTGTTGCTAGGCAGCCTGCCTTCCTAACCAATTAGGAAACCGGGCAGCACCCCATGACTTGTCCTGGCTTCCTAAATGGTCAGGAAGCCACACTGCACAGCAAGCCATGCTGCACAGCAACAAGTGAAGCCAGCTTCCTTGCCAATCGGGAAGCTGGGAGGCAGATCATGACGTGACACCCGGTTTCCTGATTGGTCAGGAAGCCAGGCTGCCTAGCAACAAATTAAGCTGGCTTCCTAGCCAATCAGGAAGCCGGATGGCACCTCATGACTTGCCGCCTGGCTTCCTGATTGGTCGGGAAGCCAGGCAGCCTCGGCAAGTGAAGCCAGTGTTTTTTCACAGGCAATCAGGAAGGTGGGCGACAGGTCATGATCCACTGCCCGGCTTCCTGATAATTGGGGCACATGGCACCAGTACTCTGTATCGTCGAGTACCGAAAAAAAATATTGGTATATTTTATGAATACGTGTGCAATTATTATTTTTCTAAAAAAAGAGGAGTTTCTCCTTAATGTGATCTTATGCCATGGAATCCTGAATTGTAAATACTTCCTTTAAAAAAAACTCTAAACTTTATTTTTTCACTTTTTAGAATGATTTGGCACCAGAGCTGGACAAACAAACTGTATACTTGGGTAAGGGGTCTTTACCAATTTCAGCTCTTCCAGATGGAACAGAAATAAACCTCAGTATCCCTCTATCTAAGGTAAGACTATCTCCAGCATTGTTGGGCATATAAAGAATATTTTTTTTGCCTGCAATATCAATACATTTATTTATCTTCTAATTTTCCAGGAACACATCATAAATATGAGTATGACGAAAGAGGAGAGGTTGGTTTTGGATTTTATTAACAAATGCTGAACACGGTAGCTGGCGGTCAAAGGTTCTCAAACATTTAAGCTACAGAACAATTTCAAAGTGAATGTTCCATAGTAACGCATGTTCATATTCTGCAAGCGACTGACTCCGAGTCCGCACAGCATATACACCCAGCTACAGATTTCTCAGATTGTACATCGAGTCCAGCTGTTACGATTTTCCCTTCAGGATTGTATGGCTCAGGATGTCTACTGTGGCCATTAATATGTATAGCCAGCAACTTGTGAAATAGCAAGCACTCCCTGCACCCCACCCTTACCATTCCAATACATAGTGGAATACTGTCTGCATATCAATGTTGCTGTTATTCCTACTGATGCCAGGTACTGCCAATTTATATAATAATTTCATGCACCTGTGTACAATGTAGCCCAATAATAAATATCACAAATAAAATAAAAAAAGTAAACTTTTAGATTGGCCCACTGATAAATGTATTTATTTCAGACAGGACCTTCCCTGTTATGAGGCAGCTGAAGAGCAGTCGGTGCAGGCAGCATCTTGTTGGGGGTGGCAAGTGTGGGGGCGGCCACAACATCCCAGGTTGCTAAAAGCTCTTAGCAACCTGTGATGCTCTGTCCGGCTTCCCACCCATCTCACGGACGTCATTGATTCTCAGGGAGTTAAACAGGATGCTCTGGCTGACATCCCGCTGAGCTCCTGGCCACCAGTGACATCTGTGAGCTTGATTGGACCATGCAGAGAGTTGCTGACAGCTCTAACACAGATGTCTGTCCCACTGCATCTGCCCCCCTCCTCCCCCAGATGACTGCTATCAGCAGCACCCCCTCTTCCCCCACTCTATGGCCTCAGGCGGCATATAGGGTAGGGACAGCCCTGATTTCAGGCATTTATAGAACGCCATCACTATTTACATCAGTCCCTGCCTTCAAGGAGCTTACAATTTAAAGTTCCTGTCTCATATGCGCACAGATACTAGGGCCAATTATCCTCTTAGCATATTTTTGGAGCTTGGGGTGAAAACCTTGCAAGTTCAGGAAGAACATTTAAACTTAATGCAGATAGTTTCCTGGCCAAATCTAGAATTAAGTTGGGGACCTCCGTGCTGCAGAAGTGCTTATCACTGAGCCACTGTGCTTTTATAATTGGTAAAGCTTTTACATTACATTGTCATAAATCCATAATATCAGTGGAGACTCCACCTTTAAAGATCTGCTTTTTGATGTTGGGATAGGATAGCAGGTTGCTGTACTTTGAGTAAAGTTATCCATCTTAAAGTATCTTTAACATTGTAGTTTTGTACAACTGGACATTTTATTATCATTCTGTGATTCCCAACACCTACATCTATTGCTTTCTGTTCATTAGCAGTCCTCAGGAACTTGATATCCGTCTAGGATTTGGACTTTCAGATGGGGAGAGAGACTTTCTAGAGAAGAGAAAAAAGGTTGTTGCAAAGTCTGTTAAAGAAGTCCTGGAACTTGACAAAGTCTCTGGCTCACGAGAGGTAGCATGTTATACTTTAAATTACGTGTTTTGCTAATCATTCCACATGCTGCTGAGCACACAAGAGACTGCAGTGTGCTTATGTAAGCTTTGTATATACTGTTGTATGCCGCACATTTTCCCAAACCCATACCAAGTTCAAAATTAATATTGAAAAACTGACCATGCAGAATAAACTAAAAAAAGGTTACAATGTGAAATGCTAATATTGATATTTTTATTTTAATACAGCCAATGTACTTTAGAAGTGGTCTTTTATTATAGCATAACCTCTTCAAGATATTATGTCTAATATGTGCAATAAAGACTACATTTGTCTGCATGGCACAATTCTACCATTAGTCTCTGCAATGATATACAGGTATTTAGGATTTGTATATTGTTTTATTCCCTGAACTCTAAAATTTTGACTATTTATCTGGATTCCTAGGTTCCCGTAGTTGCAGTCCTGGGTTCTGGAGGAGGAACACGAGCAATGACCTCATTTTATGGTAGTCTACTAGGTCTTCAAGAGCTGAAGTTACTGGACAGCATCACTTACCTATCTGGTGTGTCTGGATCAACTTGGTATGCTCCTAAAACATTTAGAATATCTAGATTCTGCGATTCTATGGTAAAGCTTGAAGGACATTTTTTTCCCCATATAGTAATATGGTTCCTCAATTAATTTATAACAATATTTGTTTCTCAAGGTGCATGTGCACACTTTATGAAGATTCCAACTGGTCACAGAAGGATCTCCAGGGACCAGTTAGCAAGACAAGAAGTTCGGTTACATCAACAAAAGCTGGAGCATTCTCAACTGATCGACTCATGCATTGCACCAAAGCACTGGTGGCCATGGAAAAGGAAGGACACAAAGTCAACTTCAGTGATTTGTGGGGACTTGTCTTGGAATACTTTCTTCACCAGGCGGTATGAAGCACAACATCCTCCTACCTACCACTGTCCTTGTTGATTGGTAGCATCTGACCAAACTTACAAATTATTACTTGGTGCTGGTTTTTAAACTAGAAATTGTCCATGTGAGGTTTTTATTTAAGGTAAAGTGTACATTAGGGCAAAAAAATATGCAGTACATTTCTGCAATACATGCACATTTGCCAATGTTTTATCCCTATAAAGACCCCACAAATACTGTTATAGGCTGAAGACACAAAGAACTTGGGAGGCCAAAATCAACAGGTTTTTTTGCATGTATTAAAAAGATAAAACAATCACTTTCAATTATATATTTAACAGAGAAATTGGAGAAAATAAGTTAATTTTTAGGGATAACACACTTTGAATATCTGAAATAGCTTTTCTCCACATCTGATACATTTCCTTCAGAACATCTATCTATCTATCTATCTATCTATCTATCTATCTATCTATCTATCTATCTATCTATCTATCTATATCTTGGTAGCTTTTCAGTTTGTTATGATACCCCAACAGTAATTAGATTTTTACTTTCTAAACATTATCTCCTTTTTATTATTTAAAATATTCTAGGATAATCCAGCCAAACTTTCAGACCAGAAGGAGTGTGTGGAGAGGGGACAAAATCCTTACCCCATCTATGCAGGAGTAAATGTTCGTGTGAATATCAGTGGAGGAGACTTTGCCGGTAAGCCATGGAAATTCATTGGATGAAGCAGGTCAGATGTAAAAGGGGTAGTAGCAGGCTGTTGCATGTTTACTACCATGCTCAATAGTTAGGAAGATTGGTCTATGTCTTTTTCCCCATCCAAATGTTCCTTGTCCGATCCAGAGGCATGGGAGTTGAGTTACCAAACTGTTAACTTTGCAAGGGAATTTGCACTTTTTAGGAGTTTCTCTGTAGTTTAGTGAGTGAGGTGAAGCTCTGCTGACTTTCTTCATCCAATCATGTGCAAGCAAAAATACTGTTCTTTTTCTTTATTTTCCCTGCACATGATTGGGTATTCCTTGCAAAGTGAATTTTCACCACATTCACCAAGCTAAGGGTAACTTTCCCTGCAAACTCTCTTGAAAGGTGAACAGCCTATTTGCCTTTAGGAAATTAACCCCACTCACTGGATTCACTTGGGCAGGGCTTATGTATAAAATGGAAAACTTTACCAAGGGAAAATGCCATGTTAGGTAGTATTGATTTTCTAAGACTACAAAACCAACATTGGCAATCTAATTGGATTCAGTGGGCAAACAATATGCAGGTTTATAAAAGGGGTCCAATAAGTGGACTTCCCTTTATCCTAGTTTTCATGCCCTCTCAATTGCCATCCTTAGCTTTTCCTCCTTACCTTTTTCACCTCATTCTCTATACCTGTGGTCGGCAACCCGCGGCTCCGGAGCAACATGCGACTCTTTCGTCCTTCTGCTGCGGCTCCGCTCCTTCTGCCCACTGATCTGACAGATGCAGTGATCGGGGGAACGGGGCGGTATCTCCGCATTTGTCGAGGTCTCAGCACACCACAGACGAAGGTGTAGCTCCACCCCCTCCTGTTTGCTTAACTGCCTTAGCGGGCCGGTCTATGCAGGAATTGTGGCCACGCCCCCTCACTGGAACCGCCGCTGCTTCCAGCTGGGAGAGTGCAGAAAAACCTGGGGTGTCCCCTAGAAGGCCGAGAGTGTAAGTCCTAAGGGAGTCCCTGGAAGGCACTGTGGTGTCCCTGTCTTCTTCCATCATTTGTTTTTTTTCAATTTGACTTTTTTTTTTTTTTTGTAAAAGAGAAATTATCTTTATTTTAGATGTCAAAAGGGTTTTGTGGCTCCCGGAGTTTTTTTTTCTGTGGGAAACGGGTCCAAGTGGCCCTGAGTGTTAAAGGTTGCCTACCCCTGCTCCTATACTAATAGTAAACATTTCCAGCAAAGTCCAATTCCCTTGCCAAGTGTAAAGTCTATTTGCATTTTGTAAATCAACCCCAGTTTGTAGCTGTTTGATATTATGATCATTTAGATTTTTTTCAGAATGGTGTGAATTTACACCACATGAAATTGGAATTCGTAAATACGGAGCCTTCATTCGCACTGAAGACTTTGGCAGTGAGTTCTTCATGGGACATCTTATTAATAGGAGGACAGAACCCAAAATCTGCTATTTGCAAGGTGAGAAATGTAAATCTGCCTAGATTCATATTATGTGATAGTGTACAAATGATATGCCACTTAGCGGTACTGCTTTTATTCCTTATATCCGTTTCTAGATATAAAGTAGCGGCCACAACAATAAACTTGCATTACTTACAGATTTCTTCTCCATGCCGTCTTTTCTAAGTAGTTCCATAAGTGATTCTGATAGCCTAATTGCTGTCTCTTTACAGGAGTTTGGGGCAGTGCTTTTGCTGCAAACTTGGATGAAATCTGGGCTCGTGCAGCAGGCACAGGGATCCTCTGGCTTAACTCTCTGACTGATGTAATCCGGGTGATGGGTAAGAGCATTCAGTTAAAACTGACTCTGGCTCATCCAGAGTCATGATCAAACTCTCCCAAGCTGAATTTTGTGACTTTGTGTCAGCATGCAATCACTGTGAATTACTCTTCCAGGTGAACTGATTCTCTTAAAAACTGGTAATCGTTCTTACCAGTTACTTCTACTTCCTACTGTACATGCACAGATGCCCTCCTGCATGCACTCCTCCCTCCATCCATACTGACTTTAGCTGAGAGTGGATGGGCCATTTGGCAAGCGTCCCTTATTCAGATGATGCAGCACAATGACTTCAGGTTTGTGCCACATATTCATGACTTATACCCCTATTTGAATTTGTGCACCTAAGATAGTTCAAGGAAGAGTATATGCATCATAAGGCTTGGCACCCATAAGATTTTGTGCCATGTCACAGATGAATGTCATGCTGACTCATTAGGCAGTGAGGATGGTTGGGGGACCTATGCGTCTTAGGAGCAAGGCTGGAAGGAAGTGTGAAATAAGGAATGGTCTTAATAAAACCTGTGCTGTTCTTCATCAAAAACTAAAACTGCAGCCCACTATTTGCCTTCACAGGTATCACACATACATATCTTCTTATTTTACATTTGTTAATGTTATTTTCATGCAGGAATAATTGTTTTAGCCCACACTCCTATGTTGCCTTTGCTGCAGATTTCATGATGTTATTTGTAATGCAAAAATAATTTGATATTGCTTAGCCTGCCTAAAAAAATAATTTCCTTTCTAGATGATTGCCGGAAATTGCGCTGGGATCCATCTCGGCTACAGACCCGTTTGGTGATGCCAGGTGGTATAGTGTCCAATATCTTCCAGGAGTTCTTTAAGTCCCGATTCACTGCAGGAGAACGATGTAACTTCACAAGGGGCCTGTACCTCTACAAGGAATACAAAGGAGTACGAGAATTTCTGGCTTGGAAAGGTATTTAACTGTTTAAGACTAGAAATACAAGGAGTGATGCTCATTCTTACCATATAAAATTTGGAAACCATTGTTTCTCACATCTGTTCTCAGGTTTCAACAGCAGTGTGTATTTGTGGATATCCATTCAGTTAGCTAACTAATTTTTCTGAGACATAGATTACTCTTGTGGACAAGTGAGGTTGCCTCAAAAATGGCTTTGTTGAAAGACTTGAGGACAGGCTTAGATTAAGCCATTTAAACGGTCAAAATGTGGCTGACTAACTATTGCATTCATTGCTTTGGGATAGTCCCCAATGCTAACTGGTCTTCAAACTGTTCCGTCGCTTTACAGGTGTAGAGTTCAGTATATGCAGTGTGCACCATTAGCAGGTGGAGTGTGCGACAAAGGCGCCAGGCGGCCGACACAGATCGTCCTCGGGGCGGCTTCTCTCCTCCTCACCGCTGGCCATCTGACATGACCGTGCTCCCTCATCCTCCCCTTTCCCCCGTGGAGGAGATCGGAGCCGCTGTCATCCTGTCAGTTTCAGGATGGCAGCGGCTCTGTGCGTGACAGAGCGGGGGGTCGGTAAACATCAATCACAGCCTGTTCATTCAAGATTTCCTCAATGGAGAGTAGCACTCACTACAGAGGCTCCTCCCCATTCAGAAACTGTTGATAGTAAAATATTTACTATCATCAGTTTCTGAATGAATGGGAAGCCTCTGTACTGAGAGCACTCAATGAATGGGAAGCAGAGGGTGCATGTGTTGGGCGCCGCCATCTTGGTGTATATCTAGGTATGCACCAAGATGGCGGCGCCTATATCGGCGTGTGACGTCACCTGACACTACGCATGCATGGCGTCATGTTCCCTCCATGCGTGCCTCCAAGATGGTGGCACGCATTCACAGAACACGCCGGTGGCCATGTTGGCAAATTATGTGCCTGAATAAATTTGTTGTATATTCGGACATATAGTAATGAATTAATATTACTTGTCTAGGTTTTGTGTTCTGTTTTTCTATTTTGACTTTTTCTAGATATTTACCAACTTGAAAAAAGGGGTCAGCATGACAACCTGACACTTTATTTTTATAGACTCTATTTTAGTTTGACATTTGTTTGCCTTCTGTTGTTTTATTTGATAAGAATACTTATATTGTGCTTACAAGTTTAATACCTTTTGAATAGAAGTTTTATTTTTATCATACTTTTTAATATATTTTTGTTTGTGGGTTAACAAAATAGGAGTCTTTAGATGGTGCGGATATTGGGGAAAATGGGTGTGGTTACTGGGGGTGTGGCCACTGGGGTGTGTGGTCACTGAAGGGCGCTGTAAAGCATTCTCGCACAGGGCGCCTAAAGCCGGCCCTGACCATTAGTATCCGCAAATAAGATTGTCAAAGATGGTGACATACTGTGCATGTAACAGCTGCTCTATATTTGTTAAAGTATGCTACGTGGCCTTTCACAGTCTGCTTGATATCTCTTGAATGTTAAGACCAAGGGCGATGCTATCACAGCAAATGAACCAGGACTTAGCAGTAGTATTTTGCATGTGACAGATCATAAGTCATAAGTCAAAGGTTGGTAAGTCTTTTTTCATATTCAGCTTCACTGACTGTATTGTTTGTGGACTGCTGCCATTCCCAAAGAGAACCATTAACTGGAACAAGGGACTTTGTTGACGACATGGACTAAGTAAAGCCAATAGAATTTCATACAAAAAATGTTTTTTGGGGGGGAACATTCCTTCAGTTTTCTAATAGTTAATGTGGTGAAACTGATGATCATTTTCGACGGTAGTGACAAAAAAAATCAAAGCAGCAGGATGGAAAACATTTTCTTGACTGAACAACACTCTAATAAAGGTGGTTTTTTGTTTGGACAACTCCATTCATTCCGTAATCAGCCTGTTTTGTTTAAGAACTGGAGTTTGTTGCCTCTACATTGAGTCTAATGCACATATATGTATATCTCATGTATATCAAACATATACATTCTGTTAAACCTTAATTAAGCTATAATTATCTTTTTGAATTTAAGTGTAATCCTTTTTCTATGTCTTACTATGTATTGTCCCTCTTTCAGGAAATCATTTGGATGCTTTTCCCAATCAACTAACTCCTATGGAAGAGAACTTATACCTGGTGGATGGAGGATTCTCCATCAACTCTCCTTTCCCATTGGTTTTACAGCCTGAGAGGGATGTTGATGTCATATTGTCCTTTAACTACTCATGGCAGGCTCCATTTGAGGTGAGTCAGTGGCAAGATATTTATTCTACTTATTTGGACATTATTAATTATGGCCGAAGCAGAGATGCCCTATATGCCTTTCAACAATTTACAGTAATAAATACTTACATTCTAAACACAGAATGGTAAATGTATTTGCTCTTTCTTCAGTCCCTGATATGTCTTCTCATTTGTCATCTTTTCTTAAAATAAAAAAAAATCCTAATTTTTAGGTAAGATTATTTTTTTTTCACCAATGAGGTTTCCCATTAACTTTTTTCTCTGTGGCCAGTACAAATTGTGATCTCCCTTCTCTAACTCCCCTTTCTGTCTAGTAAGAGTCTGCCCCCTTGCCAACAGTCATGCAGTATTGTACAACGTAGACTATCTCCGGGGAAGCAGAAAAAAACTACCCTTGTAGAGAGGCTACCCTGCACTGCACGGGTAAGGTCCTCATTTACGCCTAGGGGACAGGAAAAAGCTATTTTACTTACCTGATCCCTGCTCAAGCCAGCTCCCTCTGGGCTACTAGACTGGTCCCTACCTCCTCGTCTCCCCTTCACTCCAGTGGTCTAAGGACATTGTCATGTCTAGTGCAGGTTTCATAGACGTGAGGACGCCGAGGGAAATTCGCCATGCTGGAGCTGAGGGGAGAGAGAGAAGTGCTGAGCACTCTGAGGTGGGGGGGGGGGGGGGGGGGGTGA